GTATTCTTAAAATGCATTCAAAATTCTGAATAACTTGTAATATATAATTATTCACGGTATTTAGAAGAGCCCACGATAACGATATCGTGCATATTCATTACCGTGATATATCGCATTACCGAATACCGGCACAAGTCTAGCTCGCTCACAAAACTTTGCCGTTTCCCAGAGAAACTTTGTGCTCGCTCACAAAACTTTGCCGTTTCCCAGAGAAACTTTGTGCTCGCTCACAAAACTTTGCCGTTTCCCAGAGAAACTTTGTGCTCGCTCACAAAACTTTGCCGTTTCCCAGAGAAACTTTGTGCTCGCTCACAAAACTTTGCCGTTTCCCAGAGAAACTTTGTGCTCGCTCACAAAACTTTGCCGTTTCCCAGAGAAACTTTGTGCTCGCTCACAAAACTTTGCCGTTTCCCAGAGAAACTTTGTGCTCGCTCACAAAACTTTGCCGTTTCCCAGAGAAACTTTGTGCTCGCTCACAAAACTTTGCCGTTTCCCAGAGAAACTTTGTGCTCGCTCACAAAACTTTGCCGTTTCCCAGAGAAACTTTGTGCTCGCTCACAAAACTTTGCCATTTCCCAGAGAAACTTTGTGCTTGCTCACAAAACTTTGCCGTTTCCCAGAGAAACTTTGTCTTTATTCACGAAACTTTTGCTTTCATCCAAGAAACTTTGCATCTGTTTCCAAAATGTCGTGTTGATGAAAATAACACAAGGTGGGAGGACTATATTTCTATATATTGAGTGAACGCAAAGTTTTTTGAGGAAATGCAATACTTGCGAGAGAATGCAAAAGCATGGTGAGTGAGCACAAAGCTTCTTTGGGGAATGAACACTTTTGGGAGTGAATGCAAAGTTTCTCAGGGGAATGCAATACTTTTGTGAGAACGCAAAAGCACTGAAATATAATTTTTCTTTCCCTGTCATTTTTTTTTCATCACCATGTCCCCTTAGGGGCTGTGTAGTTCAGCGTAGCTCTGAACCCGTAATATTCCTTTAAAGGACTAAAAGTTTTTCAGTTGGTTCAAATTAGTGGCGATGAGTGCGAGGTTAGTTAATGGTAAAAATGGCGCCTAAAAATGAAAAAAAAGAAGAAAAGAAAAAACCATAAGGCCATTTTTAAAGTATCTTATGCACCTTACCCGTGGGCTAGTGGGATGAAATGACGTAGCGATGAGCGAAACAGGATGTGGTGGAGAAAAAGAAAGAGAAAGCTGAACAGACATGGAGGG